GAGGCTGCTGAGATAGCTCCCCTCCCCTTAAATAACATGTACAATTACCCCTGCTGTTGGGTCTTCTACCACAATAAGACTTTAGACAACCCCCCCAAGTTGCTGGGGATCCACATGCTCTGGTAGCAGGGAACAGAGTCATCAAACTGTTACTGAACTGAAGGCTACCCCCCCCCCCGCCCCCGGGCAAACCCTAGAGCTTGGAAGTGCTAGGCAGGCTTCTTGGGGGAAGTGTCCCAAGTGTCCATTAATATTGGCACTGGAAAATTATGACTGAATTTAAGGCTTGTCCAACATGTGAGGATTCACACCTGATATGTAATCCTGCTCAAAAGCCCATGGCTGGGGAGGTCACAGGCCCTAATGGTGAAAACACTGCTCTTGTTTTTGCTAAATAGACATGATACAACCATCAAAATGACTTCTAAGTAGTTGTAATTTTTCTCATGGCTAGTGCTGCTATTGGCTTTGTCAGAGAAGATACTTTTTGTAGTGAGACAGCAGCGATTGTTAACTTGTCAAAGTGATGAGAATGGTCTCAGTCATAAATGGGACATCTATATTACCCTCTTCCAAGACTCAGGAAAACACTGAGAAAGAGGGAGTGGAAAGAATGTAAAAGCCAAAGGAAGGGTAGAATATTGTAGGTCTGGGCTCCTATTTGGGGTTATATTGGTGTCTGTGGGCCACCCTGCATTTGGAATAATAATCTGAGTAGCCTGCCACCAGGGGCCATGATGGCATCAGAACCCAGGCTGCAGCTGATGTCTATAAAGCCTACCGCATCCGGGGTCTGTGTTGATGTTCATAGCCTGTGTCACCACCAAAGACCACAAGGATGTCCAGGCTCTAGGTCACCACCTGTGACCATGTCGGGGACTGAAGGATGTGCAGCTTCTGGGGCCATGCCAACCTGAGTGCCCAGTGCTACCACCATGACCATGGAGTAGGTCAGGTTGCTGCAGGGGGCCATGTCTAGGTCCTTGGCCCCACCACTGCCAGGAATAGCATTGATGTTCATGGCTCAAGTTACCACTGAAGACAGTACAGATGACCAGGGTCTGAGCCAATACCTAAGACCACATAGGTGCCCGAGGATCATGCTGTCATCAGGGCCATGAAGACTGGGGTGGCCTATGCTGCCACCCAGGGTCAGGTTTGGGTCTGTGTTGAGGTATGTGGTGCCTGTTGTCATCAGAGGCAATGCAACTGCTTGGGATCTCTATCGCCACCTGGGACATGTTAGAGTCCAACAACCATACTGCTGCTGGATCCAAGCAGATGTGAGAGGCATACACTGCCACCAGGGTCCACGGTGACATCTACGTCCAAGCTGCTGCTGATGGCCATGTCTGGGTTCATGGTCCTGACATAGCTATGGTCTGTGCTGATTTCCACTTCTGTGGCAATATCAACTGTCCATGTCACCATATGAACCATGTGTTGAACCAGGAGCTGAAGTACAAGGGACTGCTAAGCCGGCCCCACTACTCACTGGCCATGGAGAGCTGACCCATCCCTTGCCAGCCCTGCAGTAACAGATCCTGATCACCCTGGCAAGGGAAAGCTGGGCCCCACCCCTAATAAGAGAGTTGGCCAATCATATTTGGGAAAGATGGCCCCACTCCTCCCTGAGGGGAGTGGTCGGAGGTTGCCCATACTGATCAACTCAGCAGCAACCTGGTACACATCCAGGGCTTTGAGCTGGCACACCCCTACTCCACCTACGACCTGCTACAGTATGTGAAAGGACTGGTCCTGCAGAGCCATGACCAAATTGTCTACATTTCTCGGAACAACAACAGGATGTCTGGGGAGTTTCTGTGGAGGTGATGGTGTGACGGAGGCTAGAGGCCTTGAACCTGACCAATGACACATTACATAATGAACATCTGAAAGGAACACTGTTTGAACAAAAGGGTATATATACTGCATGATACACAGCAGCTCCCAATGCCACTAAGACAAATGAAGAGACAATGGAGAGCAAAGACGGGAGAGTAGAACTAGTTCTCAGGAAAAGTAAGCAAGATTGGTAAAGCTGTACAGGAAATGGGGGTAGCAGCAAATAAAGTGAAAAACAAAGTTATATTCCAACTGGTTGTACAGAAATTAGAAGACTGTTAGAGATAATTTCTAAATAAATAGTGTGTGTGAACATATTGGAAAATCTAAAAGAAAGGAACATATTTCTGTACACATATGACATAGCTTAGCTGAACCAAGTCCACTGGAATAGACCTATAACAATGACACTGAACTGGTAATTAAAAAAAAAAAAAAAAAAAAAAAAAAAAGCCCCATATGAAGAAAAGACTATGATCATATGGCTCCATCACTTAATTTTTCCAAAAAGTTCTTACTTTTGAGTGAGAACGACCACAGTGCTTCTCTAGCTTTGCTGTATTACTAAAAATGAGGATATTCATTCTGTGCATATAACCTTATTACAAAACCTGAAAATGATATAAAATGAAATCTAGTAATTCCATATTCCTGGTGAACAGACTAAAAAAAAAAAAAAAAAAAAAAAAAAAAACTTAAAATAATGGTAACTGAAGATAACAGTGTTATCAAAAACTCATGTAATATTGTCAAGTTAACCAGTTTCTTTATGGGAACTTAAGAATTGCATGACATTCATACACAACATACACAAATCAGTTAAATATAACAATTGCTCAAATAGAATGAAGGATTAAAATCAGACAATCATTTTAATAGATGAAAACACAGCATTTGATAATTTTCAACATTCCTTCTTGATAAAAGCCCTTAAGAAGAAAGAACGTAACACAATAAAGACTTATGAAGACTTATGAATGTCAACTAAGAGCCAACAACATATTGGAAGGGGAAACAGCACTTCCTATTAAACCTCAACTAATACAAATTATCTATTCTCACTGCCCTCCTTAAATTCAGTACTGGAAACTAGACAGAGCAAGTAGGTATTACAATGAAACGGAAGGCAGACTGACAGGAAAGTCTTAATTATCCCCATGCATAGGCAGGATGATTCAATACACACACACACACACACACAAAGAACAAGTATTCCACCAAAATATCTTAGAACTGACAAGTGTATTCAGCTAAGTAGCACATATAAAATTAAAAACACAAATTCAGTAGCTTTTCTAAATAGTATAATAAATTTATTAGAAAATGGTCAAATTAACCCTATTCACACTAGCCCGACACCAAAAATACTCAGTGATAAACTTCATTAAGAAAATGAAAGACTTCTACAATGTAAAATAAAACTCACTGAAAGAAAGCAAAGACCAAAAAAAAAAAAAAGGTATCCCAAGTTCACATTTAGAAGACCCAATACCATTAATGTCCATACGCCTAAAAGCAATCTAAATAGAGTGATATCCAAAAGACAAATAATATTCTTCATAGAATTAGAAAACGAAATCCTTCATACATATTGAAGCACAAAAGACAAAGAACAGCGAAAGCAATCCTTTAAAGGAGGAACAAAGCTCGCTAAGACACAATATTCTATTTCAAGTCACACTGCAGAATACAAGAAACCCCAATAGTATGATACTGTCATGAAAACAGATACACAGTTTAATGGGAAACAGAGAACCAGAAAATAAACTCAGGCATTGCAGCTGGCATATTTTAACAGGTTCCAAAACAGCCTCTCCTGACAAAACTGGATTTTAGATCTTAGTTAGAAGACTGAACCTTGACAACTGCATGAAAATCAACTCTAAGTGGATGAAAGATCTTAGTGCCATACACAAAAGTCTGACTCTACCAGCAAACAGAAGAAATATGTCAAGACAGAAATAAAGGATTTTTCTATACAGGACAACCAAAACAAAAGAAACAAAAGCAAACAAAACACTTAGAACACTGTAATTGAAGTGAGATTATATAAACTAAAATGCTTCTGCCCAACAAAGGAAACAGCCAAGAGTTAAAGAAACAACATGGAAGATAGGGGAAATGTTTGCTAGTTGTTCATGTGACAGAATATAAAGAATATCCAGAATATAAAGAAAAAGAACTGAAAAGTAAGTCGATTAAAAATGGGCAAATGATCTGATTTGACACACCCCAAAAGAAGCAGCAGAAAGGGCCAATAAACATGAGGTAAATGCTCACAAGGGAAATATAAGTCACAATTTCAATGAGATACCTGTAGACTGTGGGACCCTACTGGGTGTGTCTATGAGACATTTCCAAAGAAGATTAACAAACAGCCCTGAAGAGGAGCTGAACAGGGGCAGGGCTCAGAGAGCGTAAGAGGAGAAAAGTAGGAATTTTGTTAGGTACCAGCATTTCTCCCTGCTTCTTGGCCCAGCAGAATGCAAACTCTGTACTCTGCGCCCCTTGCCAAATAAAGCACAAACCAAACAAAATCTTTCCTCCCTCAAGCTGTTTCTGCCAGGTATTTTGTCATAGCACAAGAAGATTACTCAATACTGAACATCCAACAGTGAATAACAACAAAAATTACATGCTAGAAAGATATGAGAGCAAAGAACTCATCCAAGCTCCTGTTGTCAATGTAAATTAACAGACATTATGGGAAGGAGGATAGAAACAAAGGGAGTGTTACCATATGATGATAACAAGCAATAGATATAAAATCAGCACAGAAAAGAAATGCCTGTTCACCCACGTTTACACAGCACTGTTCACAATAGCTAAGACACAGAATCAAGGATCTCTGTCAAGGATGAATAATTATGGTTTGTATACACAGCACAATACTATGAAATAAACATATCCACAAAGAAGAATGAATTCCTGCAATTTGCAGCATGAAGAGAACTGGAGTGCATCATGTTAAAAGAAATCAGGCACTGAAAGAAAGGCAAGTTCAGGTTTTCTTCCATGTGGAAACTAAAATTCATTTTTAAAAGTAATGAAGTAAAATAATGATTACTAGGGCGTGGAAAGAGTGCTAGGTCAGGATAGGGACACATAGAGAGAAATCTATATAACAAAAGTGAGGAAAAAAATGATGTACATACCATTAACTTCTGTCCTGGTTCAGGGCAGAAAATAACAAAATCTGCTTCAATGTTAAGATGAATATGTCCTTGATCATCATAAATATCTCCCAATTCACCCACAACTCTGATGTTATCATATGCAATAGGGACACCCAAAAGGCTGTTAAAGAAAAAAAAGAAAGTTAATCCTTTCTAAAAATAGTCATGCTGGAGCCAGGCAATGGTGGCAGGAGGCAGAGGCAGGTGGATCTCTGAGTTCGAGGCCAGCCTGATCTACATATGAAGTCCAGCCAGAGTTGCACAGAGAAACCTTGTCACAAGAAAAAACAAAACAAAACAAAGATATCCACATTGATCTGCTATATCTCCCAGTAATTCCCAAAAAGTAATGGTATCATGGCATCACTTGGTCTTATAAGCTAACAGTATCAGATCATAGCAATTACTTACACTTGACCCAAAAATCCCAATGTCTTGGTTAGCAACGTCTTGCTAAAATATCTATCAATATGGGTCTTCAGAACTCTGCACTGGCAATAAAATGACACTTCCTTATATGCTATCTATGTGTCTCAGTCATACTAGGAGAATTAATGGGACTAAGCGAGGAAAAACATCTAGGTATCCATATGAGTGAAATGGGAAATTTTGACACTATCATTACCGAGGTTCTATGCCTGACGATACATAACAAAGGAAGCATTACTGTTTAAGCTACAGCCTCTAATCTCTGGATCCAATGGCTTAATAAAGAAAAATACTAAACCAAAACTTTGTCTAGTGAAATGTCATGTATATAAAACTATATCATTTAGGAACTGACCAACACTTTACTACTTTTTTATCTCCCACATCAAATACTTCCTGAAGAAATTTCCCTGACTCCCAAAGAAATCACTCCTCTACCACATGTAATAATTTAGTACTACTCGTAACCAAGCTTCATTGAAAGGAAGATTTGAGCATTTAAGACTTCTTTGGAACTACTAGGAGAGAATACATTTGATATCTTTAAATAATCCAAGGATGCAAAATGGAAAAGAATGGGCTTTGTTTTATTTCATTTCCCCCACAACTGGCCTCTTACAGGTTCATCTTAAAAGTTATAATGTGATTTTTAGAACACTACTTACTTTCCCTAAGAAAACAGTGCACAGTTGAAATGGGATAACTTTTTTAAAAATCCTGCCACTGAAAAAAGGGTTAAGTCTGTCAAGTAGGAAATGATGGTGAGATGACTTAAGCAAACAGGGGAGTCTGGGAGGAATCACAATTCTCTCTCTCTCACTCTCAATTTAAAGAAAAGCATACAGACCTACTCATGTTAGAGGATTGTCCACAAGTCTGAAAACATAAACTAAACAGGACAAATGGTTAATTAATATTATAATACAATTACCAACATTTTCAATATTTTGTCCCTTCCTTGCTTTATTAATGCTTAATACTCAAATAATACTGAAACCTAATCTGCACTGAAAAAAAAAAAAAAAAGGTTTCATTAAGCGGAATCCAGATAAATTTAAGAGTATATTCTATTCTACACAGGTGCATTAAACAATTCTGTTACAGAAATTATCAGGTTATAAGAATCACTTCTATTATATATCTCTAAATATTTTCCCCTAGTGGAAATACTACATAACTGCCTGAATTTCCATATTTAATGATCACCTTATATATTATTAAATCCTCGAACTTCTAATCATTTTCCTAAAATAATTACAAAATTTGCTAATTAATCTCCATCTACTGCCTCACTCTATTTAAAATATCATCTAATTCGAATTTGTTTCTTAAACTGCAGATATGACCATGTCCCGGGGACTGTAGACATGCACTATTCCTCTCAAGGGAGTGCCACGTCTCAGTTGGAGTCTAATAAGTGGATAAAACAACTGTACTGTAAGAATCAAAAGCATGGGACTGGAAAGATGCTTCAGTGGTTAAGAGGACTTGCTGTTCTTGCAAAGTACCCACGTTCTGTTCCCAGCACCCACTTGGTGGTTCACAACCATCCATAATTCTAATTTCTGAGGGCTCCAGGCATGCACATGGTGCACACACAAACAAGTAGGCAAAACACTCTTGCACATAAATACATCTTGTGAATGCTTGTGTCTAGAGAACTGTTCCTACAAACAAAACTAGGCAAAAGTTGATATTTATCATGCGCCTCCAATTGGGCCCTACAAAAGGAAACCTCGGGAAATAGCCTAAGCAAACAACAAACCCGCCTATGTTTTACAATGAAACGACTTGTTTATATGCTGTCTTCCAAGAACGAAAGAAATTAGTACTAACATCAAACTTTCACTACTAATGAGAACACACCCGGAAGTGGCTAAATGAAACTTTTACAAGGCTCAGCCTACTGGGTCTCTAGACACTGTGCACGACTAGTCTCCACGTTGGTAATGCTCTTTGCGCTGCCACCGCGGCCGCTCACATTGCTGTCAGCTTGGTTCCCAGGAGCTGGGCCACCACTTTGTGGATGGCGACTGTGGACCCCTGAGACCTCAGTCTCAGAAGCTCGTGCGACTGTACTTCCGCAGCGCAGGGGGATCACGAAGCCACGGCCCATTCCCCAGCTGAGAAGGGGCGGCAGGCAACGTCGGAGCTGCCGGACGACAAGAGCCGGAGAGACCATACCTCTCGGAGTAGCGCAGGAGCTCGGCGTCCAGCTGCTCGCGGATGCCCGTGCGCTTCCTGCTCAGGTAGCGGGGCGACAGGGCGATGTGCCTGCGGTGCGGGGCGGCCACCAGGCAGGAGTAGCGGCTGCTCACCAGCGCACACGCCGCGGCGTAGCTCGGCAGCTCCAGGCAGGGCAGAACCCCGGTCTGACCCGCCACGGGCCTCTCCGAGGCCGCCCTGGGCCTCTGAGACGCCACACAGCCCGCAGCCATGCGGCCAGCTGGGTACTTCAGGGGCGCGCACGACTGACGTCAGCACCTGCGCCCCGCCTCCGACGCCCAGATGACATCATCAATCAGCGACCCGCCCTGGCCGGAGGATTTTTTTTTCTTCTTCTTCTTCTTTCCTAAGGCTGCATTGTACAGGTGTGAGCAGCAGAGGGCAGCTGCTCGTTCCCAAATATAGATAAAACACGGAGGCCTTAGTAACCCACTGAGCATGCAAACCCAGAGGCCTGTGTAGAACATTCCTCACTGCCAAGTGTGCTGTTATGGGGAGAAGTTTGATTGTATTGATCTGTGCACTCGGACCTAAAAAAGGCAGAGGCTCAATATAACCTGATTTTTTTTTTTAAATCTCTTCAGTTGCTTTTAACGCTGGGCCAAGGTCTAGTAAAGTAATATTTTCTCTTTGCGTGTTTTCGCTTTTTTGCTTTTAGACAGTGTCTCTCCGTGTATCTCTGACTGGCCTGAAAGTCACTGTGTTGAAGCCCACTTGAAAATCACAGGCTGATTTAGATCTCTTAGACATCTGGCAGCCTCTGCCTCAGGAGAGCTGGGATGAAAGGCACGTGCCACTTCTCCTGGTTAAGTATTTTCTTTACTGGATTTAGTAAGAGCTTTAACAGGAGTGTCCCTTATCAGTCGCATTGTTGCCTGACAATTGTTTATGATCTGAAGCTGTTCGATAAGGAATAGGAAACAGTAGTGGAGTATATTTCCTATGGTGAACCCAGACCTACACAGAAACCACGAATCTCAAAACCACTATATCTTGCTTCCCTCTTCTTTCTGCTAAATCACAGTGAGGGTGTCATGCCATGCTTTTCACGTGGCTAAGCCCAGCTACCGACCTTGGGTCTTTGTTGTACACCCAGACATCAGTCAAATCAGCAGGAGGACTCAAAGAGGAAGCAATGCTCCATTTGGTCAGCACTGTCCAACAGCCCAACTCAACAGTTCTTTGGTTCCTACAACCCCCCACTTTTTTCAACAATGACCCCTATTGTTCATCTGGCTCTTACAATCCCTCACCTTCTTCAGCAATGACCCCTAAGCCTTGGGTGTGGAATTGTACTATAAATGTACCAATTTAAACTAGGATCCACAACCCTACCTTGTGATGGATAGTTTTCTTAAGGAGCCCAGAACTACCAGCCCAGAGATGGCACCACCCACAATGGGGTGAGTCATCCCCCATGAATCATTAATTGAGAAAATGGCTTACAAATGTCATAGATGCATTTCCTCAACTGGGACTCCTTCCTTTTTGATGACACACAACACCAACCAATGCAATATCCTTTATGATTTTTTTATTTCAAATAAAATGGGGTCAAATTGCTCTTAAAGTACAATGATAGACATTTCAAGTCCACTAACAAGACATTCAGTGGCCTTTAGCTTCTACTACAAAGATCCTGATTTTAGCCAAAACATGAGTATTAGTGGTCTTGCCAATGTGAATTATAGAAGCCAAGATTTAGCATCAGGTGGCATGAGTATAGACCATAGCTCTGGCACATTGGACAACTTGTGTGTGATTTGGGGTTCTAGCTTCTTAATCTTCAATTCAGAGGTCCAGGATATCTTGTACCCTCATGATAATCGCTGCAGGATCTGCTGGAACCACATTGGAAGCAGTCCTGCATATTGTATAAAAGCAGTCCTGAGTATCGAGGCAAGGATATCATGCACAGGCCTATGTCTGTGACGTCATTCACCAGCATGGGAAACAGTCCTGAATACCATGCCCCCATGGGAATGAGACCTAAATAAGTTATACACACATCCTAGATATGATGTATCCACCTAGGAAAAAAGGTATAGAAATCTTGTACCATAGATACCTTATACCTGGGGAATTGGTTCTGAGTATCGTGTACTTACACAGGAAGGGGTTCTAAATATGTAGTACATACAGTGGAAGCAGTCCCACACATATTTTACATACATGGCAGTCAGGCAGGCATGGATTTGTTGTTCACCCATGGTAAGCAATCCTCAGCATGTTGTACCCATATAAGAAGCAGCCATGCACAGCAAGTCCCATGTAAGTATATGGACATTATGTACCCACATAGGAACAATTTCTGGATACCATGTACCTGGATGTTAAGCATCCAGAATTTGTTGGAACCACACTGGGAGCCCTCCTGTATATTATATAAAAGCATGGGCCCCAGTTCTGGATATCCCATAACCACTTTGATGGAGTCTGGATATCCTGTACCTGCCTGAAAAGCAGTCCTTGATGTCATGTTCCCACATTGAAAACAGTCCTGGATATCGTGTACCTTCATGGGAAATTGCCAAGAACTGTGGGGTTGGCCTGGCCTCGCTGCCTTGAGAGATATGCATCATAGGTTTTTTGGGTTAGAGTCCATGGCTCTTGAGGCACTGAGTGCCTTTCGGTTCCTCAGAAACGGAGACACTCCCTCAGGCAGTGAAGCATTCAGGTGGCCTGTTTCTCTGCATTCCCTAGAAGTCAACAAAGCATATTGAAGTTTGACAATTAGTCTTAGACATTAATGTAATATATATATATATATATATATATATATATATTATTGCTCTTGGCAACCACCATTGTATTCTGTTTCTGATAAAAGGATGAAAAGTCTGATTGCATGAAATATATTTGTCACAGCTCAGTCCTGCTGTGGTCCCTCCATTCCAGCCTGGTTTTCATTTCTCATCAGCCATATCATGTAATATTTGTCTGGCTAGTAAACACTGGCACTTACAGGAAACAGTCTGGGTAACATATAAAATCATGGGAAACGGTGTTGGATATCATTTACCCACATGGGAAGCCATCCAGGATATTATGTATCTGCTTGGCAATCAATTCTGGATATCATGAACCCACGTGGCAAGCAGCCCTTGGTTTCATATTGCCACATGAGAAGCAATACTGGTTATCATGTATCCACATGGGAAGCAGTTCTACCCATTTAAGAATCAGGTCAAGATTTCTGTAACCACCCCCCCAACAAGCAGTTCTGGATATCATATGCCCAGAGATAAGCAGTCATGGATTTATTGGAACTGCATTGGAATCAGTCCTCTATATCATGTAAGACCTTTGGGTGCTGTCCTAGATACTATTACCATGTTTGGGGAAAAGGCATGGAAATCATGTATAGCCCTGACAATCAGTTAGTAATGTAATGGATGGAAGGCAGACCTGGATTTCATGTGTCCATATGGGAAGCAGGCATGGATATATTATCGCCAGATAGAAATCAGTCCTGGATATGATGTTCCTGCACTCCAAGAAGGCAGGATATCATATAGCAGCTTGGGTAGTTGTCCTGGATATCACGGAATTGGCAAACTAAGACTTTTGTATCTGAGGAAGTCAGGAGAAAGACACACACACTCCTGATGACTTCTTTTTTATTCTGTCTCCTTATTTTTCTTCTATATCTCTCCTGGTGTTTTCCTTCTCATCTTGATGTTTTCCTTCTAACTTTATTTTTTCCCTTACAGCTTATGTACCCCAGGAAAATCTTCAAGGATTATAAAATTACAATGTTGTTACATTCTATTTTTCAGTTGAATGACTATAAGAAATACCAGTAAAAAAAAAATAACATGTTTTCCATATTCCTTAGATGATTAAACATTTTACATATTACAGGTGAAAAGCAAGTTGTCCAGAGAATCCATATACATTCATGACCGAGAAACTTGTTATAGATTAACAGAGAGTGAGCAAGTAAGGGTATTTTTCCCAGCCAGTTCTTTTGCTAGCAGACTGCATTTTGTGTTCAAAGAAAGGACCAATCATTTTATTACTTATCTTAAAAGGTAATCTTAAAAAGACTCTTAAAGGCATCACAGATCTAAATTTTTGTATATGAAAAACAATCAGTACTCTCTAATCTTTGGGGTGTATGCCCATTTCTCAATACTTTACTCTATTAGTAAGCTAAGGACAGGAATGGGTACAAGGAATTAGTCATCACCTTTGGTCAGCAACTCATCCTAGCAAGTAAGGCATGCCAGCTACTAATACTTGGGCTACATTGTTCTTGTTCCCTAACCTTAATGAACTCCTCACTCGACTATGTACTTTTCTAAAACTTTAGATTATCTTCTTGGGTTCCTCACCTCAAAACTATTTAACAAAATCATCTCAATATAAACTTAAGATATTTTCAACACTTTGTTTCAGCTATGATGTACTCCTAGACCTGTGACCTGTGAACACATCTCCCAACATTAAGGTTAAAGAAATTTAAGCTAGCTGGGCTACTGGGACTCAGTTGTTTTTCTTTATTATTATTATTATTATTATTATTATTATTATTATTATTAATTTTATTTAAATTAGAAACAATCTTATTTTACATATCAATCCCAGTTCCCTCTTTCTCCCATCCTCCCATGCTCCCAATGACTCCCCCATCCCATCCCCCATCCACTCCCCAGGGAGGGAGAGGCCTTCCATGAGGGATCATCAAAATCTGTCAAGTCATTTGAGGTAGGGCCTAGGCCCTTCCCCATGTGTCTAGGGTATCCCTCCATGGAAAATGAGCTCCCAAAGTCCATTCATGCACTAGGGATACATCTTGGTTCCACTGTCAGAGGCCCCATAGACTACCCAATCCTCCTAGCTAACATTCACATTCAGCAGACCTGGTTTGGTCCTATGTAGGTTCCCCAGCTGTCAGACTGGGGTCCATGAGTTCCCACTTGCTCAGGTCAACTGTTTCTGTGGGTTTTCCCAGTGTAGTCTTGACCTCTTTGTTTATCACTCCTCCCTCTCTACAACTGGATTCCAGGAGTTTGGCTCAGTGCTTAGTTGTGGATCTCTGCTTTTGCTTCCATCAGCTACTGGATGAAGGCTCTAGGATGGCATTTAAGGTAGCCATTATTCTCATTATCAGGGAAGGGCATTTAAGGTAGCCTCTCCACTATTGCTTAGTTTCCTAGTTGGGGTCATCCTTGTGGATCTCTGTATATTTCCCTAGTGCCAGATTTCTCTTTAAACCTATAATGGCTCCCTCTATTGATGTGT